TGAACTAAAACAAAAGTCAAACATGATCAAAAGCATCTCATAACAAGGTTTGTTTTCGTGCATTCTATTCGGGTATCAGCCAAGGTGGCAGAACATTGCCCCATGGTCATGGGCTCCCCCGCCCCTCGCTGTGGCACCACACCACATGGGGCATTCTGAAGAGTCCCCAGATGCACTCTAAGTCACCAGCAACTAATGAAGCCTGACGCTTCACATGAGATTTAACATTAAATATAAATTTAGCTGCTTCAGAGCAATCTCTGTAATAGCCTCACTCACATGCACCTGCACTTCTAGATGTTTCCTTGAGTGGGGAGAAAGGGTGGAGTTATACATAGACTGCAGAGAACTATTCTCAGTAGTCAGCGAGAATTACCTGTAATTTTGGTCATGTTTATGGTAGAAGACTCCCCTTCCCCCAAACAAGGATGCAGAGAAAACACTGTGAACCACTAACCCAGGAATGAATTCTTGTCAACCGTAACAACCTCCCCTACTATGGAATAGTGAGGAAAGTGGGGAAAAATTATTATTTTATCTTTTTAGATGACTCTTTGCTCACTTAGCACTACTGGATGAGCTCCTAGAAGGAGGCCACCCCCCCTGGGGACTGCTTGTACAAGGGTGGGTGACACTGTTCCATTCCACTGCCCATCACCCCGCAAGTCCTCAGAAAAATTAAATTATTCTATGCTGCAACCTAGAGCTAAAATCAGTCTTCTGTTGGGTACAACAGTCAGATTTCTCTCTGTTTAACTTCTGGTGATAGGTTCAGACCCTTTTCTTGTCTTTATAAAAAAAAAACAACTCTAAAGTCACTTTAAGGAACAATTGGTCATGTCTGAGAGAAGGAGAAACTGCAAATGAAAAGTGAGTTAAGAGTCCCGCCTTTGCTTGTGCCAGGTTCCAGAAGTCAAAGGAAACAAATCAAAATGAAAGCCAGTCTCCAGCTCCTCATCTGACTACTTCTTGTGATATATGCACGTCCAGGGGACCGAGCCCAACTCCTTCCCTTTATTATCATCTGGGAGCCCCGAAATGAAGTATGAGCCCAAGAAATATCCTCAACACACCTAAAGAAAAGAGGTAAAAGGAACTCGGATAACCAAAAGGGGGAAAAAAAAGAACCCAGCAGTTCAATAAAGAACTCCCGGCAGAATCAGAATTCCTTATGAGTAAATAAATTCTGGCCAGATATGGTGGCTCATGCCTGTGATCCCAGCAATTTAGGAGCCAAGGTGGGCGGATTGCTTGAGGCCAAGAGTTTAAGAGCAGCCTGGGCCACATAGCAAGACCCATCTTTACAAAAAAATTAGCTGGGCATGGTGGTACATGTGTGTAATCCCAGCTCATTGGGAGGCTAAGGTGGGAGGATCACTTGAGCCCAGGAGTTTAAGGCTGCAGTGAGCTATGACCACATCACTGCACTTCAGCCTGGGCAGCAGAGTGAGAAGACCCTGTCTCCATTAAAAAAAAAAAAGAAAAAAAGTAAGTAAATGTGACAATTCATTGAAAGTCTTTTCCTCTTACACTCCCCAGCTGGGTCCCACCTTAAAAGAGAGTTACCTGGGTCACCTAGGAGACCTAGACAGCCTCTGGACAAGGGACAGGCATTTGTGGAGTAAGCCTATGCTGTCTAACTCGTGAACTTCTGTTGGCTAACACAGTGCCCCGCAATTGCTGAAGCTGATATGGATACTGGCCAGGAAACAGGAATGCTATCTTGACACAACAGGATGCAACAAGACTGACACACTGAAAAACTGTATCATGAGACGACTTCATATGCATCAGTGAAGGCAGTGAGTGTGTTCTACAACCACGATTGCTGCACAGTGCTGAGTTTTGCCCTTTCAACTGCCTACAGCAACATCAGAAATGTGAAGCTATTCATTCTTTAAAGAGATGAATTGATTTGAAAACTGACAGGCTCAGTTCAGCTTACACAACACACTTTATTTTTAGGCAAAAAAAAAAAAAAGTCATCGCATGAGCTTTGGTTTGAGTTCACTTCGGGCAATAAGAAAAGGCAGAGTCCAAAAGTGTTATCTGCTACTCTTGTAGGCCTTGTTCTGCTGTAGAACAAGAATATCAAAGTCGAGTTAGTAGGAGTCCTTGCTAAGGAAAGAACCCCAGAGAACTGACCCTCTCCAGGCAGCCTCTATCGCAGTCCTATTGATAGAGGGTGATGACCATTACAGTTTCTGTATATAGCATCGAGACATCTATCTGAGAAGCTTCTGGAGGAGTTAAGCAGAGCTGTAGCACATTGAGGGTGAAATGATTCTCCTATTATCTCATTTTACTGAGATACAGCTACAAGACTTTGCCCAGGCTCAGGCCTCAACTCTTAATCTTTATATACGAAACCAAAGTCTGACTTTTTAGCAGTAAAACTTACTGGGTATCAGTAGATAAGATAGAACAAGAATATAAGAAATATACTGCCAGCAACAAAGGCAGCTCTGCCCAAGAGCTTTCTGAGTATTCCAAGGTGGACACTAGACACTATCATATCAAAAAATAAATAATCATTTAATTCTTAGGACCAATACCTTGGGGACAGAAAATAGTTGGGGAAATCAGATATTTGACTTCAAAGTGTTTTCCAGATAACAGAGATTTACCCTTTATAGTGCTGAGACATTTAGGAAATTTTTTTTTTCATAGAAAAGTGCCTCAAATACATTCCACACTACTCAGGGTTATGAAACAGACTTTATATAATAAAATGATACCCTTCCTGACAATAAGATAAATATGATAAACACTATACCAAATGAAGTATGCAAATTACTTGCCTTCCTGAATTGTATATGTAAAGTTTTTGTGCATGTGAGTCTATGTATTTTACTGGGGAAAGGTCCCTATCCAAATTCCTAAAGGGACCCAAGAAATGGGAGAAACCACCGAAGCTGACCAGCTTCCTGTCACTGTGGTATTCTAGGCAGCATCTTTCTCCTCCTTTTTCTTTCTTCTTTCTTTCCTTTTTTTTTTTTGAGTCAGGGTCTCACTCGTACAGTAGCATGATCATGGCTCACTGTAGCCTTGACCTCTTGGGCTCAGGTGATCCTTCTATCTCAACTTCCCAAGTAGCTGGGACTACAGGCATGTGCTACCACACCTGGCTAATTTTTTGATTTTTTTTTTTTTTTTGTAGAGATGAGGTCTCACTATGTTATCTAGGCTGGCCTCTTGAACTCCTAGGCTCAAGCACTCCTCCCTCCTCAGCTTCCCAAAGTGCTGTGATTACAAACACGAGCCACCACACTTAGCCTTCTCTTCCCTTTTCATGGTCTTTTCTGTTTTCAGCTGCTACTTCTCACCCACACTACTCTTATGCCACTTTTTGTGGGGTTTTTTTCCTCTTTTCAACATTTCTGCTCCTTCGCTTCTGTTGTGATGCTTGTTTTAAAAAAATAAAGCAGACTTCTGATCAGTTAATTGGTCATGTGTTCTTGTAAGTTTCACTGCCAGTTACATTTCTCCTCAATACATGGGTCCTTCCTAGTTACCTTCGGGCTTGTAGGTGTTCTGAAAAATTGAGGGTGCTAGATATCTGATTGCTGGGGACATTGGGAGCAAGCTTCCTGTAGATTTTAGTAAGCTAAACATGGAGGTTAGATAGCAATGGTCAAAAACGCACACACACATACGCAAACACTCCAAATCAACCTACGACCTCCAGATCACTTCCAGAAAGTTGAGGGACTTTGTCTCTTTTCTCATTTATATTATTGTTTTTGAGTCAGGGGTCTTAGTCTGTCTCTCAGGCTGAATGCAGTGACACAATCACCGCTAACCACAGCCTCAAACTGTTAGGCTCAAGTGATCCTCCCACCTCAGCCTCCTGAGTAGCTGGGACTACAGGCACATGCCACCACACCTGGCTAATTTTTTAAATTTTATTTTATATAGAGGTGAGGTCTCACTATGTTGCCCAGGCTAGTTTCAAAGTCTTGGTCTCAAGCAGTCTTTCTGCCTTGGCCTCACAAAGCGCTGGGATTACAGGCATGAACCATCATGCCTGACCTCTTTTCCAGTGTATGTTAGTACCCGAAATGTCTGCAGTCTCAGTCTGAGCTGGGAATCGCAAGAAATATTTAGAGCTTGCTCAGCATGGCATTTTCAATCATATTCTATAAATGAGATGCTGGTAAATGAGCCGTAAAGAAAGAATAAAGAAAATGTTACTGCTTCTCCTTTATTGGGAAATTATGGCAGTGTGCAAAATGAAAAGAGGGGAGGCAGGTGCATCCCCATGTGCTGGAGAGTGACCCAGACGTGCCTGGGTGCAACAAAACCAGTAAGAGGCCCATGGCAACTGTGGGCACCATGAAAGTGCCCCTGCTCGGGGTCTCGCGGCAAGACCCATATGCCTGTGCTGCTTTATCATGCCACAAAAGATAAAGTGTGTGCTCTCTACGTGCCTGAACATGTTGCTTTTATTTCCTACCAGTCATCAACCCTTTCTTATAGTTGGGGCAAGGAAAAGGGGAGGAGTTAGTTAGCTTTTTAAATACCTAAAAAAGACTGTGCCATGGTGGAGAGCTACATTCCAAGGAAGAGTTAGAAGTCGCAGACCCAGATAATATAAAAATACCTGAATTCTTTAAAAAAAATTTTTTTTGTTTTAAATATGTGGGGTACTACTCAGGGTTAGATATACAAATGTTCATTATGCAGGTACCCTTGTTGATGAGGTGTGCCCCCCTCCCCTGGCAGTTTCCCACTACTGCCAATCCCCTTCTTACAAAAAACACCTGAATTCTCAATGTGCAAAGATGACACATGCACAGAAACGTCAACCCTCCAGAAGCCAAAACGGAGGTGAAAACATTTTAGAACACAGAAAGATCCGCTCCATAGGCCCAAAAGGCATCGGTAACTGAGCAAAGCCCACGACATGCCATAAACCCTGAGTCCTCCCGTCCCCATGCTACCTTGACGTGGGTAGGCACACTCGTGATCCAGATGAGGGCGCGCACTCCGCTTCTTACCTCATTGCAGTCACTGGCCGGGATGTGTGACGGCCGAGCTTCTTCATCGAGAGGCTCAATCACTGTCACTTCTGCAAACTCCTCCACGGATTCTTGGAACTCGGGCAGGGACCTCCGTCCGTAACGCTTCCCACCTCTAACGTATTTGGGCTGAGCTTCTAGGGAACAGTCTGAACAGGGAGACAAGAGTTTAGACCACATGATGTGAGACTCTCAGCCCATAGCTGACACTCTCAGCTGGTGGACACGGCTTCTTATACCAGCCCCAAAATAAGCCACCACTGTTTGCCAATTGTGGTGGCTGTGGGTGGAGATGAGCCATCAGGTCAGATGCAGAGCACGGCTCTTAATTCTGAATGATTTACCGCATGCCGAATGTATATCTGCATATGGCAGAAATATCTAATGATGGTGGCACGGGGTTTGACTTTGCAGTCCAGAATTAAGATCAGGCAAAGGTGAGGGGTCATATTTGTTCTTGTGTATTAAGCTGGTGTTTTGCAAGTGGGGGTGGGAGGAGAAGAGATATCCTACGAACAAAGAGATACCTTGAGGAAGTCTTGGAAAATGGTAATAAAATGGATACCACATCAGCACGGTAAAGTTAGAATTTACACTCACTAGCCTGAAGCCCCCTCCCTTAACCCAATGACTCCTTTGTTAACCATTCCACTATCTGAAACATCAGACCAGAGGGATGCCAGAACAGGGAAATGGACACAGCAGATTTTTATCAATGAACGATAGCTAGTTGTTTCTACGAAACCTGGCATTAAGATCTCATTTTAAAATGAAAAGCTTTGGAAGGAAACAGCCAAGGCGAAACCGCAGGAAGAAAAATGGTGTATTTTGCTTTTTCTCTCCGTGAGCTTGAGTGATGTACAAAGTAAAAAGGAATGTGTGTGAGTGGAGAGTGATCTCTGGACCTTAAGGAAGGACTTCGGCATATTGACACAACACGTCTCAGGCTCTGACCACCTTCACCACCATCACCACCACAAGCGCCACCACCACCACCACTACAACTACAGACTAATCATTTTCCACAATGGACAGCTTTAAAGCAATACAATAAATACTTCACTCTATTCAAATATCATCTCAGATACAGATTCTCTTAACGCCTTGTACACTATTAGAATATAATATTTCATCCAAAGACAAAAGATTGGCAATGCTTTGATTTCTGTTGTCTTATCATCCATATACTGTCTCTCCAGAGAACATAGTATGTGATCTGTTTGAACACGACTCTTCACAAGAAATGTCTGAACTCAGACATGTCAATTTTTATGGAAGGTATGTACAAATTTCATCAAAATGAGGGTGGCTGATTAGATAAGGACTGAAAGAACAAAACTGTCTTTTTCTCACCATGGAAAACACATTAAGGGTTAGTTTCCCCAGGAGGACTGGTACCTCTGTTTGACTGACCACCTCCCCTTCAACTCTCCTAGGACCCTTCCTCTGGTACAAGCTCAGATTTCACCGGGTGGCCTGACGCATTCTGAAAATGCTCAGCCAAGCTCAGAGTAAAGTATTTATACTAGCTATATAATTTCTAGCGATATTTATAGCCAGCTTTTTAAAAGTCCCAGTCAAGTCACTTTATTAGGTTGAGCGATTCTCTTATAGAGTGTTTGAGCATACAAAATTTATATTGAAAATCTCATGCATATTTGAAGGTACCTTTTATCAGAAGAGACTGTGTCAGCTTGTGAGTACTGAGGAGTGGCCCAGACACCCGAGCTGCTTGGTGGCAACTGACACCCACAGATGCTGGTCAGATAAGAGGCAATGAAGAACCATCCTTCATTGATTATTCTTAACATTTAGTGGTAGACAACAAGATACACTGTTAGTGATGATGGGGGTTTAGAAAAGATTAAAAAGAAAACTTGTAACCTTGGAAAATGGAAGATGGGATTTTCCCAGTGTGAGAAAAAAAGTCACGCCCTGGGAATGAATGTACCAAAGGAGCTGTTATTGCATGGCGTTGTTTGTTTTTTTTTTTTTTTGAGCTGGGGGTCTCACTCGGTTGCCCAGGCTGGAGAACAGTGGCATGATCATGGCTCCCAGCAACCTCAACCTTCTTAGGCTTAGGCGATTCTTCTGCCTCAGTCTCCCGAGTAGCTGGGACTACAGGTACCCACCACTATGCCTGGCTAATTTTTTATGATTTTTTTTTGTAGAAACTCCACATAGTGTAGAAGCACAGTGGATTTTTAAAAAGCTCTTTTCCTAAGCAGCAAATGGTCAATAGATTGTGAGCCACTTGGGACGCTGTGGAGTTTTGTTTTACTTATTTATTTTTGCAATACCAGGAACTTTATAAATTTTTATTTATTTCATTGGATCTTATTTTATTACAATAACCAATCTTGAGCAAACTTGAAGTTAACATCTTTCACAGGATGTGCGCACATAACCAAGTCAATTTATAGAGAAACCTATTAAATGGCATAATCTTTTTGGAATAAAGATATTAGCACAAAGAAAAATGGGTTAAGGTTTTCTCATCACTGAATTTTCCAAACCATCCATTTGACCAATAATGAATTAGACTAATCACATCTTTTAAAAAGTGATCTCTTAAATCCCTCTCTTATTTAAAGAGCATTAGCCTCATTGAGCTTACATGATAAGAGAGAAAGAGATGGCAAAAGTAAGGATGTCCAGAGAGAATATTCATGGTCAACAGCCTTTGCTGGGTTAAGCATTTGAAAACTCTATGATTCTCCTTATCAATCTCCAGCAGGGCTTTAGGATACAACAGTAGCTGTCCACCAAACAGTGTGGATTCTAAGACACTTTCACATACTCTAGTTAAAGAATGCCTTGACTCTTTCTTACCACGTCTAGTAGAAGAGATACAAAACTGCAGCCCCAAGACAAAGTCTATTTTCTCTATGGATGCATCCAGATGGAACCTGTATTTTTTCAGGGTTTCATTCTGGAACAATTTAATCTATGTCAGATAATGTGGGGTCATTTGGTTTATTAAGAAATGAGATTGGCCGGGCTTGGTGGCTCAGCCTGTAATCCCAGCACTTTGGGAAGCCAAGGAGAGTGGATTGCGGGAGCCTGCAGATTCAAGACCCACCCGGGTAACTTGGTGAGACCTTGTCTCTACAATATGTAAAAAATTAGCCAGGCGTGGTAGCACACACCTGTAGTTCTGGCTACTTGGAAGGCTGAAGAGGAACAATCGCCAGAGCCCAGCAGGTCGAGACTGAGGTAGCCAGGAGTGTGCCACTGCACTCCAGTCTGGGTGACGGAGTGAGACTCCAATTCGAAAAGAAAAAGAAGAAATGAGATTACTGACATTACACAGCTTCCTTTAACAGAAATAAAAGGAACTGGCCATGAGCTCCAAGGAGGGACACGAAATGCCAGTGATAAAAATGTCAGTGATACGAAGTCTAAAGGCCTGTTGTGCCTTCAAGGCTGGGTTCCTTGGACATTCATTTAGGATGCTGCCTAGATGGTCAAGCTTCTGAGTCATTTTTCCTTCTTTCCCACTTTCCATTTCTCCTATTTGGTATTACTACATAAAAATAAAAATGGGCTTTGAAGGACTCTCAGACTCCATCCCTGGAGAACTTATTAAAATACACACCAGTCAAAAAGGTGGCTCTGGGGCAGTCTTACCTGACCCAGTGTAATGGTCTGGGTTTTATTCCATAAACCATATGCTTGGTTATGAGTTGAGGACAATAGAAAAACCTTGACCTAATGCTCTAAAGATCACTGAGCTGACTGACAATCTCTACAGAGCTGGTAGAAAAAGTTCTTATCAGAGTTCAAAAGATGAAGAAAACATTATTCTTTCTGGCCTCAGAAATTAAACAAGGTCTGGAAGCTCTGATCATATTCTTTTCTTTTTCTTTTTCTTTTTTTGTGTGGGAGTCTCACTCTGTCACCCAGGCTGGAGTACAGTGGTACACTCACAGCCCAGGTTGGAATGCAGGGGTATGTTCATGGACAATGCAGCCTTGACCTGCCGGGTTCAGGCGATCCTTCCACCCCCGACTTCCAAGTAGCTGGAACTACAGGCACGCACCACCACGCCCAGCTAATTTTCTGATTTATTGTAGAGACGAGGTCTCACCAAGTTGTCCAGGCTGATCTCGAACCTGTGGGCTCAGTCAGTCCTCTCAATTCAGTCTCCCAAAGTGCTGGGATTATAGGTGTGAGCCACCATACCTGGCTTGACCATATTCTTTATTCTACATCTCATCTGTCCCAAGAAGGGAAACTCCAGAGCTGTGACAATGGTCACCTTACAAATCAAGATGAAGCACCATGCACACATATGACTTCTAGTCAGAGGTCTTGCACTCAGAATAAAAAAGAAAATGAAAACAGCATCAAGGAGAATGGTCACTCTGAGTAGATAAGCCAGTCACAGGCAAGGGGAACAATCAATACTCACCCACCTTATCCCTCACCAGTGTGGAGTACAGACACACAGCTTCTTCAACTAAGGGGTATGGAGAACTCTCCGTACTCTCTCCTCAAATAGACCACCATATCAGATCACTATATTTGCACTGGATGAGATCCAGGTTGCTGCTTGAAATGCTCAGCTCTCCTAAAACTACTGCATGGATGGCTGAAGGCAAAGTAATAAGGACCTGAGGGAAGTTGAGATAGTTACCCCAAAGTCTAAACACTCTTTATTCAATCGAACGCTTTCTTTGTGAAAACACAAGCTTGGGACCTGGGATGAAGTGGCAGCCACAGCGCATACAGGGGACATTAAAGAAGATCTTCAAAGATACCCTCAGTGTTAGGCAGAGCCATTTAACATGTATTTATGGAGCACCTGCCCCAGGCAACACATTCTGTTCTCTCTGCTGAGGGAGAAGATGAATGCTTTTATCTTTCTTTGAATTAAATTTACCAGTTCCCCAAAAGGCCTAAGGCTACTTCCAAGGAAGAAGAAGAAAGCCCAGCTCTGAAGGTGTTGGTATCTTCACTTTGGAATTGCCTCCGTAGAACTTTATTTTCTATTTCCCTTTCTGACCCATTCAGCAAGTGTGGGAAATCATTATCAGAGACGCCACTCCATCCAGAAAACCCCAGCCCAGGGGCTAATGCCAGTAGGAGGTCCTTCATGCTACAATGCTGTCAAGCTTACAGTATTGCTGAAATTCCATTGAAAATA